TAGATGTAGCGGTCGAGCCTCCTGCACCCATGGATTCGGTCCTCCAGCTGCTATGGCGGGGGATAATCCTCCGCCCGAAGCGCTCGCTCCCCCTGCAGATGTAGCGGTCGAGCCTCCTGCACCCAGGGATTTCGGTCCTCCAGCTGCTATGGCGGGGGATCCTCCTCCGCCCGAAGCGCTCGCTCCTCCAACAACTGCGGTGCCCGAACCGGCCCCGGTCGCGCCGGGCAGAGTGGCCGCTGTTGCTCCGGCTGCCCGGCCTTGGAGTAATGCTCTCGATATCGCGGACGCCCTTGAGTCAGCCACGGCGCGTGAGCTTGGTTCCAATCCGGCTCCGGCTGCTGCTGCTCCCGCGCCAGCTCCGGCTCCGATATTTGCTCCAAGTCCCGCATTCGCTTCAGCTGCCGCGTTGCTTCTCCCGAACGAGCCAGCGCCGAATCCCCGGGATTCTGATTCGGCTCGAGCCCTAGCTTCGGCACTGGCTCGACTCCTGGATTCCGACCAAGCTTGTGACTCCGCGCTGCTGCTGCTGCTCGAACCGCCGCCTCTCGGGAAGTCCAATCCATTGTTGGAATTCACGCTTGCTATGGCATTGGCATTGGCGTTCGCCTCTCCGAAATTCGGTCTGCTCACGATACCGCCATTGGCATTCACGTTCGCGTTGGCATTTGCATTTGCGTTCGCATTTGCATGCACATTCGCGTTGGCATTGCTGTTTGAGTTGCCACAATCTCCGTTGAGCAAATTCATCGACGCGCAGCGATTGGAGTCCATGTCCGAGTTGCCGTTCCCATTTCCAATGAAATTTCCGTTTGCGTTCCCGTCGAAGTTACCGTTCGAATTCCTGTTGAAATTACCGTTGAAATTCCCGTTCGGATTCACAGTGCGGCTGTCGAGTCCATTGCCGTTCTGGTCGATGTTCGTGTTGATGTTGTTATTTTGGTTGATATTGGTGTTGACGTTCTGGTTTAGGTTACGGTTGAAATTATTATTGATATTCGAGTTGATTTCGGTGTTGGAATTGGAGTCTTCGTTGACCAGATTCGTATGCTGATTGATCACGATTGGGGTCGGCTCTCTTGCTGGAGTATTGATGATAGGGGAACGTCTCTTATTTCGGGTGAACCAACAATACTCCTGTGGAGTTTCCGCGCCTAGAGCGCCAATCACACATGAGACAGAGATGAATAAGACTAGCTTAATCATTCTCGAACCGATCCCACGACTAAGTTCAAAATAGGTCTGTCTGGTTTTTAAAGTGCTTGCTCCGTGACTTGGAATCGTCCGGTCCATGATTAGCTCGATCTTGATAACTCAGATAATTTATGTATTCGTCGCGTCTATATCCGTTCCGGAATCCTCATTCTGTGCTGGGATGATCGCTCGATTCATCCCCGGAGATACCATGTAGACGAATTTATTAGACTGAACCGAAAATCTCGGACGCGATCCGAGGATAGATCCGACCCAATTGAGGAGTTCCACTCACAATCAGATATCATCGTGATGGAAGTCGAGCGTGATGCATATCCGATCCGCACACGAGTTTTTTTTCTGAACAAGCAAACTTACACTCTCCTTAGGGAAAGAGCTCTATTTTCAGAGGATTTTCTTATTCACTCCGCTCAGACATGGGACCGCTCGAAGTACGTTGCAGGATCGGCGAGCTCGCCGATCGAGCATATGAGCAGTGCACCAAGGTCGCGCGCGGGCTTCGGGGTGAAAACCCTGCGTGGTTTTGATTCAGATGCGATCAATGGAGAATTCAGAGAGAAAATCGGTTCGACAATTTTCCGGAGCATTCCGCAATCCTTCTAGCGACACGATGCAGACCAGCCCTGCCGGACCACGGCGCTTCTATGGAATCCTGCGGCGGGCATCTCGACGGCTGGAGCGACAATCGAACGCGGCATGACCAAGCCAGGTTTCTGCGTGGTGTGTGAGCCGATGAGAGACGAAAGCAAAACTCCGTCTCCGACTCTCCGACGCATAGTACGAACTTCATACTCGGCGGCCGGCTCGCAAGCCAGAGCGGACTCTACTTGTGATATCGCCGCGCCGCCGGTTCGTATTCGTCAGAGGCTCCACCAATCCGCCGATGCCCTCAAGGACCGATCGATGTCTCCCCCGCGGCCTTCTTGATTTCCCCCGTCAGCTCCACCTCTCCGAATATCAAGCACTTGCCCCCCCCTTGTCGTGTTTGCGTTGGGAGAAGGCTGCCAGCGGCTCCTCCTCCTCCGCCAGTAGCGTATATAGAGGAGGGGGGGGCGAGGGGGCCATCGCCCTCTCGAAACGCCGCCTTCGTTTATTGCGGTCTATGGGGATCATCATCATGATTCTGCCCCCCCCCCCCAAAAACCTTGCTGCGCGCCCACCCCCTCTCCGAAAAAGTCCTATATACGCCTCTGTCCTCCGCTCAGGCCTCCAGTTCCCCGTGTGTGTTTGGGCCATGCTCAGTGGCGTAGCCAGGGGGGGGCGGACTAGAGCCCTCGACTTCAAGGGCGAATCCCGGGGTAAACCTCCTCCCCCCTCCCCTCCTCAAAGCCCCCCTCCCCCTCGGAGGAATCCCATATCCGGCCCTCCTTGATTTGGGCGCGGGGTCCGGGGAGCGCTAGCTACTATTCTCATCGTTATCCCAGTGTTCGGAAGTCGGACGCTCTGTAGTTTCAAGGTGGACCACCTTCTCGCTTCGGACCGTCGAGGTCACCACCGATCCGGACACCCGGAATGTTCAGAGCACTGCACGAGACGGGATGAGAGCCGAAAAGTAATCCAGAAATCGGACGGGAATCGACGTTAGAGGCTATCCTCCGTCACCTAGGACCCTCTCCTTCGCTATCATATCGGGAGACTCCGATTCGGTTACTTAATGAGTCTACGCTATTCATCTGCCCAAGGCCCCGCGTCCCATTGCGTTCTCCCAATGTTTGCTGCCTAGGATCTGATAATGGAGTTGAACCTTATCCAAACGGTGCTTTCTCGCTCGTCTTTCAAGATTTTTTCGAGGAAGAGAAACATGCTTCATTCTTTCTAGCTTCGCTCATAGGGAGAAGTCAGCGAATGACCGATCCCGCCGACAAAGACCTATGCGCATCTCTCAGCGGGATAGCAGACATAGTCCTTAGCGAGCTACAGATCTTCATTGATTTCTCGTAACTGAGGTGAGCGTCGCCTTTTCGTTTTCATGAGCTAATTATTGGCTCTCTACGGTGAAGGTTTGAGGCAGATCATATTAAAACTCTCGGAAACCCATTTCTCTTCCCAAATGACACCTTGAGCATCGCTATCTTCCGGAGGCCTTATCTCAGGGATGCGTCATCGTAGAAAATCGAGAATAGTCGCGATGGAGAGCTTATAATGAGACTACCGGTAGACAGGGCTGGGGGATTTCGCTGAGAGATTTCAATTCTCCCACTCAGAAGACTTTGTAGTGGCCTCACGGAAAACACGTATGATGTCGGCCGTGTGCCGCTCGTGCGTGGCGTTTATTAGACAACGGCTCAGCCGCCTTACCGGCAGCGGGCGCGTCCGTCGGTGGACCGAGACTTAACTCCAATACCTAATACACTACAGACTTTCACTCTGACTGGTGAGATTTCAATCTTACCGAATCATGTGTTTTCGCCCCAACGTGTCATGAGAGTGAGCTCGAGTCCGCGACCAGCGGTGAGTCGTGCTAGTCGACTGCCCGCAGTAAATCTTGTATCATGAGAGGATTCTCGTGGTACGAAGAAAATCCCAAATTCGCCCGCTCAGATCCTGCACTGACTGCGCTGAGGGAGGAAGTCGACAAGAGACGTCGTCCTCGAGCCAGGAGATGTCTCAGGAAGAGATTTTCATGGTGACAATCTATGACTTTTCATTTATTCATGTTCTTCAGTTCCTTCGATTCTATGGAGGTGGCCTGTTTCTTAAGACGTCGATTCCCTCCTGTCGGGATCCGCCCGATACGGCACTCGCGAACGAGTCAGGGCTCGTTTCCATTTGATGAATTCCGACAAGTCTCCACGACTGGTTCCTTCAGGACTTGTAGAGTCTCGTGACCCGCTGACATAATCTACACGGCTGAGTTGTCTGCATGATGTCGGAATCTTCCGTAGCCTTCTGGCATCGATGAACGTCTATGAGTGTGCAGGATGACTGGTGTTCCCGATAGAGATTTTCGCTATGATTCCTCGGTGCCCCGTAATTTTCGTGAAGTTGACATGTGCTCCCAGCTGCTCGGATCTGGCCGAACGGCGTGATACTGATACGTTCCCTTTCAACCTCGACCAGCTGCGCCAGCTGCAGCGTTCGCCGCGGCGTGGGACCCTCCACTCGGTGCACTCCCAGCTCCAGCCGCGCCGCTGACTCCTGCTGCACCTCCTCCCGCAGCTGCGCTTCCTCCCGCACCTGCGCTTCCGCCCGGCGCTGATCCTCCTCCCACTGCCGCATTTCCGCCTGCGGCCGCTCCTGCTGCTGCGCCGGCTGTCGCTCCAGCGGGACCAATTCTACCTCCTCTGCCTCTGCTTCCTGCCAATGCAGCGGCATGGGCGGCAGCTGTGGCTCCTGCTCCTCCTCCTCCGAGGGACCCAGCGTTACCAGATGCTCCCGAGCCCCCATACGCCGCCGAGTTGCCGAAGGCTGCCGCATTTCCAAACGCCCCAGAGCCACCATAAGCACCAGAGCCACCGGCAGCTCCCGTTCCATACGCTGCGGCGGATCCGTGTGCCCCTGAGCCACCACCGAATCCCCCCGCGCCTCCATAAGCCGCGGCGTTCCCGAATGCTGCCGATCCACCACCGTTAGCTCCTGAGCCCCCGAACCCTCCCCTGGCGTTGGTAGCCGCCGAGCCGAATGCACTTGCCGCGCCGCCTCCTCCATGTGCCACACCAGATGCTGCTGCCGTCGCTCCAGCTGCTGCTCCAGATGATCCAGTTGCACCCGTTGCTCCCGCTGCACCCGTTGCTCCCGCTGCACCCGTTGCTCCCGCTGCACCCGTTGCTCCCGTCGCTCCCGTTGCTCCTGTTGCACCCGTTGCTCCCGCTGCACCCGTTGCTCCTGCTGCTCCAGCTGCTCCAGCTGCTCCAGCTGCTCCAGCGGCTCCCATTGCTCCCATGGCTCCCATTGCTCCCATCGCTCCCATTGATCCGGGAGATCCGGGGGCGCCCGTGGCGCCTGCTGAGCCGGCCACACCTGCTGAACCGGCTGCACCTGCCTGTCCGGCGGCGCCTGCCGCTCCGGCCGCACCCGCCGCTCCGGCAGCACCCGCGGCTCCGGCTGGTCCCGATGGTCCACTTGGGCCCGATGGGCCAGTTACTCCGGCCATTCCAGCCATTCCGGCCATTCCAGCCATTCCAGCTGCTCCGGCGGCCCCAGCAGCCCCCGCAGCCCCAGCAGCTCCAGCTGCTCCTGCCGCTCCTGCTGCACCGGCAGGTCCAGCCGGGCCAGATGGTCCGCTTGGACCCGATGGGCCAGCGACTCCGGCCATTCCAGCCATTCCGGCCATTCCAGCCATTCCAGCTGCTCCGGCGGCCCCAGCAGCCCCCGCAGCCCCAGCGGCTCCTGCTGCGCCCGCGGCTCCAGCTGCTCCTGCAGCTCCGCCGGCTCCCGGCGTTCCCGGAGCTCCAGGTGCACCGGGCATACCGGGCATTCCAGGTGGTCCAGGTGGTGCGGGAGGTCCTGGGGGCCCGGGTGGACCACTGATGCCCGGCATACCTGGAGGACCAGCCGGACCTGCTGCGCCGGAGGCGCCAGCTGCTCCTGCCGCGCCCGCAGCGCCAGCCGCTCCCGCTGCTCCGGCAGCTCCCGCAACTCCCGCTGCTCCAGCAGCTCCAGCAGCTCCCGCGGAGCCCGTAGCTCCGGCGAAGCCGGATGCGCTCGCCATTCCAGCACCGCCGGCCGCTTGAGCCACTCCCGAAGCACCGGCGACCGCTCCGGCGGCTCCTGAGGCGCTAGCTACCCCCGGGCTCGTGACGGCTCCTGCGACTCCTGACGCGCCAGCCATCCCCGCACCACTCGTAGCTCCGGCACTGGCTGCGCTTGCTGCTCCGACAGCACCAGCAGCCCCGGTGGCGCCAGCAGCCCCGGTGGCACCAGCAGCCCCGGTGGCACCAGCAGCCCCGGTGGCACCAGCAGCCCCAGTGGCACCAGCAGCCCCGGTGGCACCGGTAGCACCGGTAGCCCCGGTGGCACCGGTAGCCCCGGCGGCACCAGTAGCCCCGGCGGCACCAGTAGCCCCGGCGGCACCAGCAGCACCGGTCGCACCAGCAGCCCCGGTGGCACCAGCAGCTTCAGCAGCACCTGTCGCTCCGGCTCCCTGGGCTCCTGATGCCGCCATCGCTGCCGCGGAGGCCGATGAGGAAGGATAGCTATTGTAGAAGCTCACTGCAGGATGATGAGACTGTTGATAGCCTTGATAGCCGTGAGAGGCCAAGTTGTGAGGTTGGCTGATTGTGCCACCGGCACAAAGCAGAAGAACTGAAACAATTAGCTCATTCATTTTGGCCGAGGCTCAAACTTTCGCTGAGACTTATCGTTCGATCCGCGCGCGGTCTTTATATAACACCCGATCCGTGATCGAAACGTAATCAATCAGATCTCTAGGAATAGTTCCATTCAGTGAAATTATTGACGCGGGCTCTACCCTTTCGATGCCGGGACGAAGAGAGTCCCGTGTCTGACTCGCTGAATGTGTTCCCTTGTGACCCGGACGCAGTTAGAAAACGAACGCAGACGCGCTGCCCCTCGTCGGCTCGTACACGCTTGGTCAAAGCTGAATACTTGATAGTCAGAATTTGCTCCAAAGAAGGGATCAGGGGAGCTGCCCAGACGGATTACGAATGATTTCATTCCGTCTTCGAGACCGTCGCGAGCTCAGTTCGGCTGATTTGGAGGCCGGAATGACATTCAATGATCTTGAGATGTCCACCACATGGGTATTCGGAATGCGGGGGTGTAGAAGTCAAGGCAGGCCAGCGATCGCAGGAGAAATTCTCCGAGGCATGGCGAATACTGATACCCAAGGCTACTAGGAAGATTCGACTGCCCGATCATCGTCCTATCTGACATCATGTTTATTCTCCGTCCTCATAGCTAACGAATGCGCGACTGAATGCAGGAATGACACTTCCGCGGTAAGTTCATTGCGGGAACGGTCGCTGCTGAATTCCACGCTCGTCAGAAGACCCGATCCGGGGAATGTACCGCGTTCGGTTGCATATTCCTTTCCTATGCGTGGCTGGCTCCATCGCGAGCGACGTGACGCCCTCGACATTTTTCGAGATCTGCGAAGCGACCTAACACAGCATTCTTTTCCAATCGATTGACATGGGTATCGATCTGCCGCTGTTGCTCATCGACCCGTGTTTTATTTCCGCGCTCAGTGTCAGCGCATTTCCCGATTCAAGCTTCCAACTTTAAGCCATGAAGCCGGAAGAGCTTCTCTGATTGCTACCCAAATGAATAATCTGCTTATGCGTTGTTCCCCTATCCATCAAATGGAATCATTTGTCGCTTCCCTCCAAAGAGCCAGAATTCCCTAGATTGTCCACAGAGTAAATCGTTGAATCCTGAAGTCGCACCGGGGACCACTCCCGATATCACGGGGGAATTTTCAGGAGGTCGCTCCACGACTTGTATCAAAAGGAAAAGCATCGCGGTCCTCTTGGAAGAAGCAATGCAATCCGATTCTTCGGGGTCGGGAGCGCTCAAAAATCAATTTCAGACTTCGTGAGACCGGGCTGGCGCTAGAGAACGAGATTCACTTACGTGATATGTCGGGGAACCCCTGCCCGGTATCCTCACCCACCTCAGAGCCTCAGAGCCCTCGCTTTACCGAAGGAGACTTTCGCGACATCATCGACGGCATCTCAATCGGGGAACTGGAAAGGGGGCTCGATGTGCCGATGAAGAAGTCTCTATAGGGAATACCATGTGGGAATTTATTCGTTCTCGGTATGCTTTGTCGTTTCTCTACACCCAAAGGTGACGTCCTGGCATCGCTCTGACGTGTGAAGGATGAGTTGTTCGCTCGCATTCATGTTCATTACCGCTTGCGGTAAGTAGAGTTTGATGGGGCCGTGGAAGCGGGGGGTGAGCTGTCCAGAGAGAACATGGTGATCACCGGCGCTGACCCGGCGACTTGGTGCGCCGTGGCTCCAATCGCGGTGCCTTGAGGAGAATTCGCCCCATTCGTAGTCGTCATTACTACTGCATTCCCAGTCGGGACCGAATTACCAGTCGGGACCGCATTCCCAGCAGGAAGCGGTGCAATTCCGGTCACGACAGTCCCGGCGCTGGACGCGGCTACCCCGGTCCCGTGCGGAACCGAGCCTGTCATGGTCCCAACGGACACCCCCTGGAATCCGTCCGGGCTCTGGTAGAAAGTCACCCCATTGGGTACAGAAATCGTCTGCACTTGCTGGGGCGCCGCCCCGGTGGTAGCCGCCGCTTCAGCGGCTGCCCGGGCGGCTGCCATCCCGGAGGTGTCCATTTGGCCAAAAAATGCGAACGGATTGGGAATCATCATGGCTGGCTGAGCTTGCGCGGAGCTGAGCAAACAGAGAGAAATAATCGACTCGATCATTCTCCTCGAAAGTTTCATGATAACTAAGGCATGATTCGGCAATAGCGACTGTCGTTTTATAAGATGACGTCCGTGATCGGTGCCCTATTAATCAAGCGACTGTGGGAGGCTATCCGTCTCTGGCCCCGTTCAAACGCATGATCTTACAATCGGTGTTGTTTTGGACCACGGAATGGAGGTCCACCGGTACAGAGTTTAGCTCGTGTCTAGACCGCATGCTATATCCCACTTCCCCTCGAGAATGATGTCGCCTTGATTGAGCTATGCAGCTTCCCTCATTCTTGGTCGTTCATGTCTTTCGTGACCGACGCTGAGATCGCCGGTCTCCATAACGATCGCGAGAAGTGAGTAGGTACGTAGGTGAGTCGTTCAAAAAAGTCATGGGAACGACAACACTCTAGTAGAGGGCTTTAATTATCTTTTTCATTCTTCTGGTTGAATGGCGGAGCCTTCTCCCGAGAAAGACCAGTTGGTACGGCTTGAGCTTGACCATGTCCAGACATCTCCAAAACATACTGAAAGTAGTCTGTCACGGATGTAGACAGGCGACAGCCAAAAGCTTCGCCGCAAGGCGGCACTCTTTCCATGGGCGGGCTAGGAGAGAACGCTTTCCCTGGGGACTCTCACCTCGAAAGGCGAGTCTATCTATGGCATGAGGGTGGGAGGTTCCGAAAAAAAGACAACCCAACTATTGATGTCCCGTGTGGGACCGACGCCCGAGCTCAAACTCGGCCGTAAGAGCGACACAATCTCTGTGCGTACGATTCGCTTCCCGCGGGGATTCGCGCTCGAAAACATACTGAACTCTGGAAATGTTTGGGATCGTTCCTCCTGTTCTTGCTAGGGATGTTTTAAAAGGAAGGTCTGTTATTTGAAGGACACGACGCTCGTGATCTAGGCGCAATCAATCAATCGTCAGTCGCAATCTTCCGTCATGCGAGGTTCCCATGCTTAAAACGCCGCATTTAGTGTCCACATACGCAATGAACACAAACAATTCTTTCCCCCCCTCCCGACATCGATTGGGCGAGGCGAGCGGAACGCGCTCAGACGAATTGCGGAATCTGCTAATTAGCGATCTGCCTTGTTGTGGGGAATCGTAAATCGGATAATTCTCCTCGACATCCGATGTCGATCTCTTCATTTAGCTCCTTGAATTTTCTCCCTATGTGACCCATCGTCGCAATGGTTCCGAATATGTAAAGCATATCTCCAAGAATCACTCACAGGCGAGAAGCGACCGCATGGAGCCGAATTACTCCCAAGACATCTGACCTAAGTCATGGATCTCGCTCGCAGGACGGCGGATGATTCTCGAAGTTCAGTAGTGCTGATCGGTCACTTTACCAATCCGCTCACTCGGGCTCATTTATCGTTTATTTATAGATCCTTTCGAGACAGGAAGGATGGATACACGTATCGTTGCAGCATCGGCAACCCACGCAGAGCCTCTGTCACTTTTCGTGACTCATTAAGAAGTCCAATTTATTCCGTCGAGAATATTTTCGGGATGTAGAGCGGAAAAACTGGGCCGAAATCGACGCAGCGGCATTTAAGGCTTGATGGCGGCGAAACTTCGGGATCTTGGGGCACCATCGGTCAAGATAGGGGCGAGGCTGATCGCACGAAGCTGTTCAGTGTGTCTTCACCTTATCCACTCGGCTGTGCGCCCGAGTTCAATACAGTCGAGTGGATATGTTCCCGGATGAATGAACGGATAACCGTGGCGTAATGAACGGATAACTTCGGCCTAATGAACGGATTTTTTTAATGAAATGATGTGTTCGGAAAGAGTTTTCTCCATTCTGCCACATATTCAATTCTCGATCGCGATCTCCACACTCCAGCCTCGATTCTCGCACGCAGAATGAGGACGGTTCCTCCGAGGGGGAATTTGTGTAGTGGAACTCGCTCTCTAGCCCATGTCGATAAATTATCCTGCGTCCGAATATCTGAAGCCATAGGCCATGAAGATACAAATATCCTAGCTACTCATTCTTCTATCGCCTCTACAGTTCAGGGCGGAAGTGGGGAGGAATAGCCACTCGCTTGTCCACTTTAGCAGCATGCTATGACGTCCGTGACAAGGTTGGGATGTGGCTTAATTTTCACGATACGAAGACGAGAGATATGGGAAGTGCGTGAGATGCTCTAAATTTATGTTGTGCGCAAAGGACCTCTTCTTGAGTGAAACTGCCCCGGTCAGGCTGACCGAGAGGTCCCCGCTTGACGTTGTGGAGGGTGGCCAGCTGGTCGGCTTCCCTAGAAGTCGACAAGACGGACTCGATTTGAGTGGGGGCTCGCGAGACTGGATGCTCATATGTCTGGAGACTCTGATTCTTCCCGAACTCCAACTATCGCATAGACATTTTTCAACTGGTGAAGGCTGAGGAGCCTTCTGGAACATACCTTCGATTCAAGACGTCTCGTGCCGCCGAGCAAGCCTCCCTCCATTTTCCACAGATATTTCAAGCCTCAAATGCAGGCGGTTGCTCCGGAAACCCTTCCCAGTCTTTCATCAGAGTCCGGTCACTAACCTCATTGCGTTGTACAGATAAACCAGGATGGTCAGCACTAAACCCTCAAAAACTGCAAGGGAGCGCCATCGTAGATTCTTGTAAATCAATACTTTATTGCAAGCTCGGAATTCCTCTGTGGATTAGATTGTCCGATCGAGACTCCTCAGACCTACCTAAACTGATGAGTCCGGTCATCGACGCGCCAGGTCGTAAGACAGTCTTTCGCGCGGAGAGGATGGATCCCCCCTGCAATCGTGAAGCCTTAGAGCAAGTCTCCGAACCGATTGAGGAATCGGAAGTTCTCCGGAGTAAGTCGATGCGAAGTCATTGGTATGAAATAGTCATTTTCGCTCAATCTTATTTCTATCACACAACTCACATCAACTAACCGATGACGTTGGGAATGTGGAGCTTACGGGTATCGTGGCTCGGCTCGACGCAGGAGATGTTTTCGAATCTCCCGGGACTGGGAGACCTGTAGGCGTTGGCGTTGTCCACTGTCCCAGGCCCAACTCGGTTGTGATGATCTGCATTCCTGATACCGATGTATATGACGCGACGGTCGTGGAGTCGGAACCAGCCGGGGTTGAGCTGGTGTCGTTTTGAGAGAAGTCGGGATAGCCGGAAGTTCCGTTGCCCTCGATGGCAGTCTCGAGATTTCCAGCCGCGCTCGACGCGTTCGCCGCCGATCCGGGGAGCTCGGGCTGGACGGGAAAGTCGGTGCCGTTATTGACGGAATCGAAAAGCGCGGAAGTGCTGTTGCCATCCAACGTAAACTCGTTTCTGCTCGACGTAAGGGCGCGCTCGGAATCGGTGGTGCCGTTGGCAATGAGATCCGAATAATCAGGAGTGGCAGTGGCATCTTCGGGGACGGTTGTCGAGGAGTTGGCGAATGGGTCATCTCCCGGAACGGATATCGCGTGCTCAGTGGTCGTCGCGTCGGCAATGATGTCGCCCTTCATGGTGGGCGCTGAGTTCAGCGGGAACTCCGTCGTGAGAGGTCCGATGCCGGCAGGAGCTGCGGAGGGGCCGGGCCCGTATCCGGAGGCGACCACGTCATAGCTCATCGAAGTCGTCTCGTACACGATCGATCCCGTCGGGCTTCCAGGTTGGGCTTTAACCTCGGATTCGATTGAGGATTCGCCTTGGAGTCCTTCAGCATTCGGTATCGGAGATCGGTCGCTTGGACCACCGGGATGCCACGTTGTCGATCCCTCCGGACCTCGGATAGGTGAGCCGGTCGGACTGGAGTCGGTGGACTCAAGTGGATACTTTTCGGTGGCTGCTGTCGGTTGAGGGATGACAGCTGAGGCTTCGCCCCCATCAATTCGGCCAGCTGGGGGCAGGGTTGAAAGTCTTACAGGAGATTCCACAGAAGAATCCGTGAATCCCAATCCCGGTGACGATCCGGCTGGAGGATCTGTGACCGACGGGGACTCCCTCGGGGAGCGCGCCGGCGACTCTATCGGTGACTCTACCGGAGATGTCGACGGCGACCCCATCGGGGATGCCATCGGCGACTCCACCGGAGATCCTGGCGTCGACTCCTGCGAGGATCTTGTTGGCGACTCACTCGGAGATCCTTGCGGCGACTCCATCGAGGGTCTAGTCGGCGATTCCATGGGAGATCCTTGCGGCGTCTCAATTGGAGATCTTGTCGGCGAATCTCTCGGAGATCCCAGCGGTGACTCGATCGCGGATTTCGTTGGGGACTCGATCGGGGATCTGCTCGACGACTCCACGGGAGAACCTGTCGGCGACTCGATCGCGGATCCCGTCGGGGACTCGATCGCGGAACCCGTCGGGGACTCGATCGCGGAACCCGTCGGGGACTCAATCGGGAATCTGCTCGCTGACTCCACGGGGAAACTCGTCGGCGGCTCTTCAGGGAAACTCGTCGGCGACTCCACTGAGGATTTTGTCGGTGATTCCCCGGGATATTCACTAGGCGGCCCCGTTGGAGTTCTTGTCGGCAACTTCCCCGGCGAATCGCTCGGTGATCCCCTCGGAAAGTCTTCCGCGGAGTTTCTAGGGGAGTCTCCCGGCGATTCCCTCGCGGAGTCTGCGGGAGGTTCCCTTGAGGCGCCCTCCGGGGACTCTCTAAGAAAGTCTTCCGGCGCTTCTCTTGGGAAGTCTTTCGGGGATTCCCTCGGAGACTCCTCGGGGAGTTCTCTCGGGGATCCTCTTGGGTACTCTTCCTGTGATTTCTTGGGAAACTCCGTCGGGTATCCTCCCGGGGATTCTCGAGGGTAACCTTCCGGGGATTCTCGAGGGTAACCTTCCGGGGATTCTCGAGGGTAACCTTCCGGGGATTCTCGAGGGGAACCTTCCGGGGATTCTCGAGGGGAACCTTCCGGGGATTCTCGAGGGGAACCTTCCGGGGATTCTCGAGGGGAACCTTCCGGGAATTCTCGAGGGTAACCTTCCGGGGATTCTCGAGGGGAACCTTCCGGGGTTTCTCGAGGGGATTCTTCGGGGGACCTCCTCGGGGGGTCTGGAGGAGATTCTTTCGTCTTGGATCCTCTTGGAGAGTCCGTCGGGTAAATCTGGGGGGATTTCGGCGGAGATCCATTCGCTGCTCCCTCCTGAAGGGCGTTCGGAGATTCTGCTTGGGATCCCGCGGAGGATCCCGCAGAGCTTCCTCGAGGAGAGCCGCCCGAATTTTCAGCTTGAGGTCCGGCTTGGTGCTCAATCGAGGACTGGGATACGAAGTCCGATTGAGATCCCGAACGGGAGTCGCGTTGGTCTCCGGATAAGGGTTCTCTTTGATTCCCTGGCGGAGATGTGGGTTGATAAGCAGGTACGTTCGGGGAATTTTTCTCCGCAGTCGAGTTGGATCCAGACGTATCGGGGCTTTGTACCGGTAATGGAGAGCTCGATTGTTCTGTTCCGGACCCGGATCCGACGCTAACGGGGATACCCTCATTTTGCGTCCCTCTCGCTGGAATAACTCCCTCGGTATGATCGGACCTCGCCGCTTCCTCTGGGGGAAACTTCACCCTAGCGCTATCGGCCGCGAGTCGTATCGACTCGGCAGCTTCAGATATCCGTTGTAGCTCCTCGGCGTGCTTATTGTCTTCGGAAATAACTTTCGGCTTGTTGTCCTTCGTCTCCTTGATGCTTCTCAGCTGTTTGTCGAGTTTGACCTCCTCGAGGAGTCTCAGGGCTTCCGCGAGTTTCACTTGTTCAGCTTGCTTGAGGAGCCAAGCGTCCCCTGTCTCCTGTAGCTGCTCTCTGGAGACACTGCTCGAAATCTCACGTGCGGGTGGGAGGATTTCCGGGCTCAAGCAACCGCCGTCAGCTCCTCGTACACAAGTAGCACCTCGATCATCCCAGTAGTCCGTGGCTCTATTGTCTGAACCCCTGAATTGAGTCCTACCCCCGTCCGGCCCGTCGCGACCCGATTCGATCAATCGGTTCTGATCGCCAGGCGAAACAATCCGTTCTGAATCCACTCTCCGGTTGCGATCATCGACCAGAGAATCCTCCACTCTGGCTGCTTCGATTTGCTCCCTGTAATTCTCCATCATGGCACCGCCTGAGTCCGTCAGCCGGTCCCCGTAGTCGTCTAGTCTAGTTCGATCCACGTGACTCGTCTCCGCCGGATCCGAGGACTCGATCGGACTCTCATTGGTCGGCAGCTTGATCAAATCGTCCTCGTCAACCTCATCTATGGGTCGCCCGGGCTGCCATAGGGGTGTTTCAGCTGGAAAGTCCCCGAAACGCTCCTCGGCTCTGTTCACCGGTGGTAAGAGCGGATTCGTGGGGGGCTGCGGATTATCGGCGAAACCCGAACCGCCTCCGAGTCCCAAGGAGATACCGGCCCCTAGGGTGAGCCCAGGCTTGATTCCCACTGAGAGTCCAGCCGCCGCGGGCGCAGCATTCCCGCCAGCGGAATATGCGCTCGGGAGTGGATTCCCGCCTGGAAAGGAACTTTTTCAGTCCCTTTGAGTCTGACAAGAGCTTTGCAAATATGCTCGACATATCTGGAGAGAGGATATGTACCTTATTCGATTCTTCATTCAGCTAGGTTCCTACTCGAGACGATATGATATTACCTCTGTCGAAACCAAATCCTGAGGTTACGTCGGTAGTCGGGGTCTTTGGACGCCGCGATTGGGTCCGCGTCAAAGGATGTCTGAGGAAAGATTTCGCGGGGCTGTCTGAAACCGAAAATTCGATTTATGTGGCTGGCCTAGTATAAAAATGAATCAAACCAATTCGGATGGTGGAAGGATAGAATTATTTTATTAGAAGTAAGTGAGTCGATTCCGAGCGAATCATGCGACAGAGTCTCTCAATTCTGCCCTGAAATACTAACATCGGTCCGCGAGTGGAGGAAACCTGAACCTCCTAGTGAGAGTTTGAGCCGAGCATCGAGGGAAACAAGTCAAACTTATGAAGAGAGTCAATACGATCCACTCCTTCATTCTGACTGGGGATATGAGCCAAAGCAGCTGAGCTTCTCTGAGAAGCAATAACGGCAATCTTTATGAGACAGGGTTCGTGATCGAAACCTAATCAATCATATCCCGAGGGCCTTTATCCGATTTCACAAACATTTCGAGTTCGAGCTCGGACGACGCTGTTCCGAATTCTGAATGCGCTCCCGATAGACAGGAAGTGAATCGATCCTTGGCGCGAAGATTCTGCGGAGAGATTCACAGAGTACTTTTCTTCCAGGTTCATGGAGCATTGCACGAGGGGACAAAGTAGCTGGCTCGAGCACATCGCTCATGCCGGTGGCTCTGGAGCCTGTTTCCATCGATAGGAATGGAAAAAAATTGACTCCCGATCGTCATGAACTCTGGTGGCTATAGATCCGATCCGTCTGAGACAGGCTTCTAGGTCTACATGAAGAATTCGACGCGGAGCCCGGAATCTCACCTTGAGGCTGTATTCTACGTTATCTCTCGCGGCGGGAATCCTCGAACGTTGCATCCGGAGTCTTCTAAAGTCTAATTCGAGGAATTTTCCAGGAAAAAAGCTTCCCTCGTGTGTTGGCGATCTGACAGGAGCTCTATATTGATGCCGAAAGGAGAAATTAGAGGGGGATTCGGCATAGGGGCGACATTATTCCAGAGGGCTGAGAAGCGAATGTTGCCCGGATGTGCCGCTCAGAACTGATTTGATAGGGCGGTCCGCAAGGGATGAGTGTTTCTATGATGATCCCTTGAACAGCCTGTTCCCTTCTTATGGGGGCGTCGCATGAAAACTCAGGTCAAGACGCGTACGCGCGTGACAATTTCTCTTTATTCGGGAGCGTATCAGAAGCCCGCAACAAGAAAGACTGAGAAGATGTGAACGTTGATGAACGTTGCACAACAGGGAGATTCAGGATCTTACAGGCACATGGTGAATGATGCGCGCTGCAGACGCCGTGTGATCATCGCCTTAGGGTAAACCAGTGTAGGAGTTCGACAGGGAATCCGAGCAAGTCCCTCCAGTTCGCCGCCCGTTGAGTAATTCAGAATGGCCACTATATTGAGTGATCGATCCGCGAGAAACGCGGGACGAAACTCTCACATTAGGGATCGTGCATTCCAGATCCCACGAAGCGATGTCAAGGACCATCGCAATTGCTGAAGAGAAGAGACGACCTCCCACCATTCAGCTACCCAGAATTCCTACCGCCATATGCTACAAGCGACCTCTCGAAGTACGCAATCACGAGACGAATAGAATAATCTTCGGGTGAGGTCCTTGGAACTCCCAACGCTATTCCTTCGGCTCGACGGAATCTGGATTTTCGCTTCCCGAGTTGGAATCGGCTCTTTGTTTGAGCTTCAAATATATCCGCAAGAAACTAGATTCTGAAGTATCGTCTCCCCCAAGCGATTCAGACAATTATCAAATCCTTGAACTAATTGGACGAGGGAGATACTCCCTTGTGTACAACGCTTTCGATTCATCGAGGAGGGACTCGTGTGTCGTCAAGAAGCTTCTCGATGAAGACACAAATAGAATCAAGCGAGAGCTCAGATATCTGTCCATCCTCAAAAGAGGTCCGAACATCATCCGCGCCCGGGTGAGCTTGAAAACGTTGCGTCTATGCTAAGAGTGGAGCTTCAGAGAGCTCAGCTACACGGGCAGCCCAATCGTATCATGCTACTTGAACCGAATACCTTCTAGGATGTCATCCGACTCGATGTGGTCGGGGAAAAATTCAAATATGGCGTTGTCTTCGAAAAAATCCGAAACGTAGATTTCCGGATCCTCTATAGACAATTCGACGCTCTAGAAATTCGCTACTACCTCTATCAGCTGCTGAACGCTCTGAGTTATGCCCATCATCAAGGTACACTTCGCTATGCCCAGCTTCCCGGCGTGGATTTCTGTTTCTTCCGATCGTACCCCATTTTGGATGATCTGAATGCAGGATGACAATGAATGATTGGATCCTTTCCCAGGGATCATGCATCGCGATGTGAAACCAGAGAACATTGTCATCGACCCCGACGCCAGAAACCTGCGTCTAATCGATTGGGGTTTCGGAGCGCTTTACCTTCCCGGACAGGCCTATTTCTGCGGTGCGTGCACGTTGGCCTATCGAGCGCCGGAATTACTGCTAGGCTATCGCCATTATGATTACTCGATGGATATGTGGTCTTTCGCCTGCGTGGCCGCGGGAATGATGTTTCGCAGGGACAGATTCTTCGAGGGCGTAGACGAACGAACGCAAATGCAGATTATAGGTCGATTCCTCGGGAGGCAGATGCTCGATGATTACCTTCAAAAGTACCACATCCGCTCGGAAGCGGCACAACTAGTTGGACAAGAGTGAGTTCCTCGGTCAGAGAGTGATCGCTTCTTCTTTCACTTGCGACTGTTCGAAAGGGTCCGGAGGAGGAGAAATGCCTGGATTTTCATTGAAAGGGACTCGATGCTCGATTCGCAGTGAGAAAGGCATAAATCTCGAGGCTTACCTGAGGCCGAATAATGTGGATACCGCCACATGTACAGCATTGAAGCTCTTGAGGGAACTCTTCGTCTTCGATCATCGGAAAAGGTTTGTGGCTCCGATCGCGTCCTTGACCATGACGACTGAATGACTCTTATCGACAGACGATACCCGCTCCCTATCTGTCTCCCTCCCTCAACGATCCTAAGTCATCCTCCGATGTTCCATCAGGCTCACCGCAGAGGAAGCGAAGGACCACGACTACTTCGCTCAGATAAGACAAGGCCATAGTCATTTTAACAGACAGGCTGGATGCTCGAATGAAGGGGCCGGAGCCCAAGTGGAAGCAGCTGCTGCGAACATGGAGCAAGAGAATTTGGGAGACATCATCCTCAAGAGTCCCGAAGCCAACCGTCATAAACGAGCGCGAGATGACGCCGATAGCGATGAGCACCAAGGCCCGCCACCGGTTTTGAGTCCATTCAAAGCCTTCGAGGCACCGGCCGGAAAATCGGGGGAGCTCTTTCCGGATCTCATAGAAGTAGCGCCTATCCCCGAAGATATGGCCTCGATGAATAGATGCAGCAGTCCAAATCAAGCGGGACCGAGCCATCGCGAAGAGGAAATTGAGGTCGTTCCGCAGGATGTCTTGATGGACTCGTCCTTCGAAGACGACAACACCTGGGATTACTTCGAAACTAGCGCAGAAGACGAGGATAATACCGACGATGCTGTCGAAATGGCTGAGGTTGGAGATATTTTGGAAGAGTCTTCAATCGAGGACGGCGAGATGAATGCTGATGCAGATCAGCGACCGCCGGCAGAGAACGATCCCGGGAATATTGAGCTCAATGAGTGATCTCAAGGGCTGGAATCCGAATTTTCGCGATATTGAATTCACCACACGCTCTGACCATTGATTCTACAGGGGCCTCTTCTCATCGCCGAATGAGTTCCTGACGCAGAAGAATAATTATGGAGTAGATCATTGATACCCACGAACGCTCCTTCCGAGAAAATTATACATTAAATGACTGATTTATGATCTCCAAGATCCAATGGACTGAATGATGAAAATATACATCATTCTCGGAGAACAATAATAATAAATGATTATGTCATCTAATCCTGGATGACGCGAAGCAGGAGAGATCCCTCCTCTCTCACCTTCTTCTGACTCAGAAATGCATTACCAGTCATCGTATCACTCCATGCTACTGGGAAAGAATTCGATGCATGCATACATAGTCATTGGTTCAGAGGTCACACATACGAGTATCAAGGTCTCAATGCCGTTCGGCCGAGTACGACCGCCCGCGCCGGTGCGGCGGTGGCTCATGAGTCGGGTGCCGTCTGCTCTGGAGAAGTAAACAGAAGAGTGCCGGTCCGGGCGCAGAACTCAGAGATTCGACTTATCGTGAGAAGCGGAAGCCCCTTCTAGGATGTGCGACTCACGGGGAACTCGAAGTATGCTCTCTCGCTCCGGAACTGATTTTCAGTGAATGAGGATTGAGCCATAGCTCATCTCGAGTACTCTGCCGGGAGCAGTCATGTTAGCGCGCACCGTGAGCGCCTCCGCGCGCAGAGCTCTCCGTCCACAACTGGGTTTTCGGACTGATTTTAGAAGCTCGGTCGTTCTTCCGATGGCGCAGAAGAGAAATGCATCTCAGTCTGCACCCTCCTGGCTGATAGATGTATTCGAGAGTCCACCCGTGGTGTTCGCGGAGCAGACCCTAACGAAGATTCACGAGCTTTCAGGTTGGCGTATTTCGGCAGGATTAACTTGAATTGAGCCTTCCCAGACACGCGATAGAGACAGGAAGACTCTCGAATAAGGGATCAGGCTGCAGCTCGATGCTGTCGCCATCAGATTGAACAGTAGTGTATCCTTCATGATTTTTCCCCTTCTCCCCCCTCACCAGGACTTCCGTGGTGGGCGTCGATTGTCATCTCAACGATAGGAATCCGAGTGTTCGTCACATTCCCCTTGGCCATCTACTCGGAAGCGAACCTTGCGAAACTGGCAAGCTTGGGTACGACAGAGTCTTCGACGTCCCTTCTCACGCGTCGTTGCGTCATTGATTTCGATCCTTGAACTTGGAGATCCCGAGATGGAGATCTCACGCGAAGCTATTTCCAGAGCCCGAAGCCCGGGAGATTAACCAGATTCTCAAGGAAGATACAGTTCTGGCGAAACATAAATTCAATTTGACGGAACAACAGGCGACGAAGCTTTACAGAATCAATGTAAGCTCTCGTCTCCTATTTTCGGCGTAATTCTTCAAGATCCCTTGGCGTCTCAAGTACCGCTCGAGACTTCCATCTTTATAGCTCAAGAAACAAATGGGACTATTGATTGAACGGAATAACTGTCATCCGGCGAAGAGTTTCTTCTTGTCCCTTTTCCAAATACCTGTCTGGGTCAGTCTGTCTTTCGCCTTAAGGGACATGGCATTCGCGGGGAAATACGGAGGTGAGACCGACTATCATGCTGTTCGACAGACCGGACAGGAGTGCATACATATACAATCCACAACCCATAAACATCCTCATCTTTGTTGCTAAATCCATAAATCTGGTCACAGTTTATGAATACATGTCGATGTCTACGGAAGGAATTTTCTGGGCGAAAAACCTTATCCACCCGGATCCGTTCCTCATTCTCCCGGTGATGACCGCCGTGATGAACTTGACAAACACTGAGGTCGGTCATCATGAGCATGAAGTGCAGCCCACAAATACATAATGTTTGATATGTACTCGAGCTCATCGAACGCCCCGGAGACCCCGTAATCGGTGATGATTTCTGAAGTGAATTTCATTCCAGCTGTACCAATTGAAGAGTAATTTGCCGCGAAGCAAGTTCCTGAAGATCTTTCATAACTTCTCTCGGGTGGCAAGTGTCATCGTGATACCCGTGGGTCTCGTGATGCCTTCGGTGAGTCCCACTACCGGCGCGAAAGACGAGAGTCTTCGAGTTGTCACGGTCTAAAGCGAATATCGTATCTTCGCAGGCAGCATGTCTGTACTGGTTCTGCAGCGCCTCGACAGCCACCGGTCAACAACTAATTCTCCTCTCTCCTCGCTTCCGACGACTCGTACGGATCCCTCCGAGTCCGAAAGAAGATCCGACGCCTTATTCGACGATTTGGAGTAACTTCCAGAGTCGGATTCTTCGGAGGGGGAAATGAAGCTCGAATTCCGGACGGATAGAACGATTGTGAATAAAACGTTAAGAAACAAAGCTTTCCCACAACCCGCGATAATAATTGATCTCGGATTGCCCCATTTAGCTATTCAGGCCAGCTCTCTAGTGTATTAGAGAATATGGTCAGGCTTTATTCGGGCTCTCATTTGACCGAGCTGAAGTTTATTTCCTGACACTCGCAAAACCATCGTGGAAAGAACAGCACTTCATTTAATTCTTGGAACAGCGAGCTAGACATTCAAGCACCGATGATCAACCATCTTTCTTTTATCTCTTCGATCTGCTTCGTCGAAAACGGTTCGGACACCCGAATTTTGACCTCGAGCTTCCCGCCGGAGTCCTTCCTCCCGTCCATTAGGGGGAAGACGTCGTGGATCTCACATTTCGTCTCGAGGTCCGCCAATTTGATCGACGCGACCCCTATCAGTCCATCTGCTCGAAGGAATCCCCGTTTCGACCACACCTCTATCTTGAGCTGTTGAGAAAAAAAAATATTCCAATTCCTCGCGCGCTTGCTCTGTGCAGATTATCGGATTCGAGCTCGTAAGAAGAAATTACACCGGGGACATCAACGCCCCCTCCTCTTACCTGTATTCTCTTCAGGACTCTGATGAAGCTCCTTGAGTGGCGTACAACTTCAAACGAGCAAGTGGTGTTGTATTCGGGATTAGTCGTGTCCTTCACAGTATATCCCCGGTAGCTCTGAGGGGCTTCAGCACGGAACGGGAAATCGATCTGGAAATTCGAACAATCGAGTAAGGGATCATTCATTGCATTTGCTGTCGCGGATTTCTCCGATCAGTCATTCGCCTCTATACTCCTCTGACCTTGACGTAAGTGTCGAGCTCGTTTGGTTTACCAGGGAGTGTTATGCCTCTTATCACAGAAACTTGCATCTGGTTCTCAGGAACATCGTGATTATGGCGGATGATGGTGAAAACTCGATCCTCGTAGCGGAATCTGGGAAGTAACAGAGACATATTCACCATCATCGCGTTCATTGGGTGGTCCGAGGTTGGGGCCTCTTTTCCCGATCTCACGACGGGTCTTCCCTCCGCTCGGTATGCCTGCTCGCAGGATCAATAGGCTCGTTCTCCGATATTTCGCCACATTCGATCGAAGTCGATTGATCCTCACTTACACGGGTATACTATCGCCTCTTTTCCAGCTCGCTTTGAGTACGCTGAGGTCACGTTTCGTATCCAGACCAAGTTTCTCGAACTTGGTTCCCGAGGACACGTCTCCAAGCTTAAAGAAATTCTCTTGGTTTCTGCTGCAGGTTTCGAATTGAGCCACCTATAAGCGGAACCCTGTTAAGCGAGAGCATCGAACTCCCATGTTCCCAGGCCCGGCGAATCCACTCCGGACACTCACCAGTTCTCGCTCAAGGGTTCGATAGAGTTCTTCGCTATCGGCCGACAGTTGTTCGCCACTTTCCTCGGCCTCGAGCACTACGAAGTCTTGCTGCAGTTGGGGAGGTATCGGAATCGTGCTCAAGTCCACCGGGAGACCGTTTTCGGTGGCTTCGATCATTGGCTGGATGCCTTTGCTCATCCTAAGGTAGACCATCGCTTGTTCTTTGCTCGCCCCGTTTTTTAGAGCCTCCTTTGCAGCGTCGCGGAACATTGTCTGTCTCTCCAACAGAAATTGCTTCTGTTTCTCGAAAGTCACTGAAAGCTGTTTTTTGATCGACTGCTTAGAGGTGGTAGGCGCGGGCGTCGGCATGGGCCGCGGAGCAGCTGGTCTCCCTGGTGCAGATTGGGGTTTCGCAACCACGCTCGGAGCGGATCTTTGGGGAGCTGGACCCTGGCTGGGGGGTTTGGGCGCGTCCAGCGGAATCGGACCAAAACCCGGCGGGGCCGGTAGATCGGCAAAATCGTATGGCTTTCCAGCTTTCTGGGCCTTGATTGCGCTCTTGTAGTCCTTAAGGATGCGACCGATACGCCGTACTTTACTACTATTATTTTCAGCCTTTGCTTGAGCTTCGGTTTCCTGCAAAGGGGAGGAGTTTTGATGCCCGAGTACCAGACGGAAAAAAAGCTTGTCCGCTTCTCCGATGGTTGGTGTCGTCGGTCCCAGATTTATGATCCGCGAATAGTGATTGACTGAGCTCAGAACGCACCTCATACTTGGCTAGTCTCTGCTCGAGAGCCTCCAGGATAGTCTGGGCCGCAGGTGGAGCTTTATAAATACTTGGGTCTTCTTTCACGTCCAAATCGTAGTCCTCGGGATTTTCGGCCCTTGTGGGTTGCTTCGATGGTTCGGGGCCTCCGGGCACGCCCGGTGGTGGGGGCATTCCCGTTAGATCGACGGGTTTTCCTTCGCTCAAAGCCTGGATTCAAGTTATAGGATTCGCTAGAGCTTGGCGATTCCGCAGGAATCTCAGCGGTTTCATGCTTGAACGAAGAAGGCAGCTGTACCTGGATGACGGAGTCGAATTGTTTGGCGATTCGGACATATTTGAGAGCCTGCTCCGTATCCCCCCTATGCTTGGCTTCCAGTGCTGCTTTCTTGTATTGGTCTCTGCGGAACATCAAAAGACCTTTCTGGTCACTCGGTTCTGTGGGTTGAACAACCGGTCGTGACTGAGAAGCAGACGGTATTTGAGGTGCTGGCCGCGACGGAAGAGGAGCGGCCGCTGGCGGCTGCAAAGTCAGATGTTTTACCAGAGGATATTCATTAAACGCTTTCGGTCACCGTGACGCTTCCAATGTTACTCTTTCGGGACGTTTCGGAAAATGCTCTTTAGGTCACCCACCCGGGGCGCAGGTCTCGGTGGAGGTTTGGTTTCCACCTCCTCCTCTTCGAACTCGGTTGGGTCGAAATCGTCATCCGCTTCGCCCAAGAGATCAGCGATTTCCGGAGGTGGATACCGATTCGATGCGGACCTTGGCGGTATCAACGGTGGAGTTTCATCCATTGGCGAGGGCTCAGTCATGCGCGCCGGCTGAGGTCGCTCCTCTTCGAGGACCGGAGCCGGCTGCTCGATGGGTACATGCTTCGGTTTCGGAATAGCAACGGGTGGCGGGATATCCGCCCCCAGAACGGGTTTCCCGAGCTTCGCTGCTTTCAGCTGATCTTGGAGAGTCTTGATCCCCCGCGAAAAGCTGAAACGAGAGCCTCCGTGACGATTCCTGTCGTTCCGAAATCTTTGTTCGCCCTGGCGGAGCTGAAGATGAAACGACCCCGGCAACTCACCGGCGGGCTTTGCTGATGTCGTTCAGGTCTCTCGCCGCAGATTCCGCATCTTGGTAGTTCTTGAGGCGGATTTGCAGGACATCCACTATATCCTGAGGGCTTGGATCCGCCGCGGATCGGGAGGCTCCGTCCATTGGAACCGTCGGGGGTCGAGACACCGCTTTCCTGCTGGGGGTCTCTGGCGGACTGGATTCACCCAGCTCGTTGAGTTCCGCAAGGAGCTCCTCGTCGTTTTCGATGCCTGTCACAGTAAGGAAAAATTACGCGAGAAGAGATCGGGGTTTCTTTGATCGAATATCCGAGAATCAGGTGCGACCATTGCGAAGATTTCTGATTCGGAAGCATCTCCTACCTTCGTAATCACTTTCGTGATCGCTCACTTGGTCCTTCATTGCCGCATCGGCCATCGCTGTAATTGTCGCCAAATCGGTGGGTGCCCTTTTCTGCTTAGGCTCTTCGCGCTTCCTCGGAGCTCCGCCGCTGATGAGAGCGTTGAGCTCAGCTTCAAGATCACCATCATCCCCGTCATCGTCGTTCCCACCATCGTCATCGAAATTCAGATCATTTATGTCCAGCAGACCGAGATTCGCGAGGTTCATGTTGCCCGAGAGACGACCCTTGGTTCGCGGTTTCTTAGACATCTTGTTCTCCCAATCCGGCTCTGCGCCTGGCTGCAAGAGAGAACGAAATTTTCATCCAATCCCAGTGGGCTTCTGACCAGTCCTCAGCTCCCGGACAAATATCTCGGTATCGGGGTGAAGTCGCGAGCAGCAGTCATTAGCAGTAGTGTCATAAATGGCCCTTGCACATGACGTTGCTGTGATGGGCGGAGCTTGCAGACATCGGATTCCCATCAGTCGAAACGATAGGTCTTCAATTGATTTCGAGACTCCACAGTCTATTCAAAAGGCGCCTCATACAACGATGGCTGTCATATGATCGCTCTGAAATTCTCCAGGATTGTCTTGCTCGCTCAGCATCGAAATCTGTGACCAGGGATTTCACAGAGTCCCAGTCCAATGACCTTTTTCGAATGACAAGGTCACATCCAGAGGTAGTTACTCATGATTACCTGTCAGCAGAAGCGTCGATGGCACTCACAGATGAAGTTTTCGAACGTTGTAGTGTGACTCATATGGCAGGTCGGTTTTCGTCGGTGCCGCTTCCGAGTTTTAATAATTTTCGGAAGCGGAGTGAACTCAGCGGCGCGCGTTCGTGTCAGCATCGAGGAGATCCCTGAGCTTGAACATCGAGCTCGAATGTTTCTAGGGAGGCTGCTCCGCCGAAGAGGGTAGATCCATCCCTTGTTTCATTGAAGTCTGAATCGAAATAGTTCGCCCTCCCCCATTTCTGCGGAATAATGCGGTACCGCGTGACTTTCCTGCGATCTCTGCGGATCCATAGATCTCCTACTAGGGTCGGCTGCCGTATCATTTTCCTACGAGACCGACCCCTTGCTCGAAGCTTCCCCACGATACCCTATTAGTTTTCCATACGACGGCGCGAGTCCGACCCCATCGACAACTCACGGCATTGAAACAGATTCGTCGCGCCTGTGTGAGAACAGGCTACGATGGACTGAATGAATCATAGCACATGAAAAAGAGACTGAAGGAAAGTACCGGGAGTATCACGCGCCGATTTAGCCAAGATAGGGAAGGATTCGACGCTGACCCTAGCGCAGGGTTTCCCGAAAGGGGTTCCGGCTAGCGCTCTCGAGGGTACCAGAGGTCGGTGATTATAGTTTATGTCACATTTCTTGGGGAAAATATATTCGACACATCTGCAAGAATATCTTACCATTGAGGGGACAAAAAACCCGACGACTTTCACCATCATCCCACATTTCTCCCGTATAATATACGGGGCGGCGTTCGGAACCAAGATGACGCCTACTTACTGTATAAGGGGCACAATGCGCGGCAGTCCGCGCCTCCGGTGAATATTGCGGATGATCGCGATTATTCCCTCAACTATCAGTCTCGGCTCCGAATTTCCTCAAGTTCGGTCATTCTCTGGAGGAACCGTAAATATTCGATGACAGGACAGACTCGTCTCCCGTCTGTGTTGGACCACAACCGTCACATGATGGCCTTATTCGAGTGAGCATCACAGGCCTGGACGGCGAATTAACGCTTCCTCACGTAACTTGATCTGGAACGTTCGGCTAGGTCCCTTCATGAGGTATGTAGGCATACGATCAGCTATGCAGCTGCGAGACGAATGAGAACGAGAACAACCACGATCGATAGAATCAATCTTCTCTTCTCGACGCTGAAAACCGAGGTCACGATGATAACCTACGACACCAGCCGACTCTCGAGAACGATAGAGCATCGGATTTCTTCTCAAGAATTTACGATTCAATCGCGTTCTCAAGCAGAAGATCTCGCGTCGATCCCGGCTTGTAGGCTCAAAGGAGACAGTGGTATCTCCTCGTGTCAAGCCTTGTGCGATGTGGCAGGCAATCTCTAGCTCCAGAAAGGAAGGCACTCGAGATCTTCTCCTTCGGACAGATTCGTGGCACTCTTCCTGAACGCCCTAGAGGCAGTAGCGTGCTCCGGGGGGCGGTCCGAGCTAGGCGGCACGATAGAGGAGGCGGCATTTCCGGATTCGATATTCAAGAAAACGGCGATTTTCGTGAAGATTTTCGGAATTTCTCTCGAAAATATTCGGACAGGGGCGACGATTTCACTGATCGCGTCAAAAATTTTCCGTTGACCGCCCCGGGTGCCGTGAAGGGGTTGCACGCCAGTGCCTGGAGGGTGAAACTTGAAACGAATCCTTCTCCGCGATGTCGATGATGATGCAACGATGAGAAGCGCTAGACGATGAATGCACATCTTCTCTTCGTATCGTTTTCTAGCCGGAAGAAAATCGGCATCCCACGTTTTACGAGCCTATGTGGAATTCGACACCGGTAGAAAGCTGATCTCGCGACTTACGACTCAATCGATCATCTCGATTCATCGTCAGGAAATTACTCGGATTCCGTGGCACACGATGAACATCGTGTCGGAAGTGCCCTATAATCAGCTATGGCGCGGAGACCGATGTGCAGGGCGAGGCGGCTAGGTGTTCTTGAAGTTCAGACTCCTCCAGTAGCCTCCAGGGAGCCCTTGAACCGTCTCGAGATCCGGATTGGCTTAGACACTCGGACATGATTCTTTTCCATCTGTCACCCATCTACGGTGATCATTCACATATCCGTTCTGAAGTACACTCTTTCACTTCCCTCCGATAGAATACCGTAAATCCTTCAATAGCAGCCCCCTTCCAACGGAAGCCCCTCCCTAATAGAGGCCTCCCGGCCGGAGCTTTTGAGGTAATAGGAGCCCCCCTCCAATAGGAGCCCCCCTCAAATAGAAGCCTCTCTCCAATAGATGCTCCCCTCCAATAGGAGCTCCTCCCTACTAGAAGACCCCGAAGTGCCGAAGTCGGCTGTGGAAAAGCTAACTTTAAAGAATCTGGACTGCGACGGCCGAGGATTTCAACCCAGACCGGGAAAACGCTCTCCCCTAGAAATCCATCATCACATTTCCGGAGCAATATTTCTCTCGGAATATCAGAAGCCCCCCTCCAATACAAGTAGCCCCTCTCCAATAGAAGTTCCTCGCCGGAGGTATTTGAAAAATAGAAGCCCGGGTCTCTATTGGAGGATTTACGGTAAGCCAGGAATGCCCTTGCTCGCTAGAGTCTTCGTACTTCACGAGCTGCGAGATATCCTCTGGACAACGGGAAGAGCTTCCCAACAACTGAACAAAGCTCAGATCTTGATGAAATCCAGACGGAATGGCGGTGCACTGCGGGTAGAGTTCCTAAACTTCGGACGTTTTATATCTATCCAGTCCGCGAGAGCGAAGACCGACGACCACATCGACGAGGGAATCGCCTCTGATGAGTTTTCCCTGTCGCCGGACGATGTGGGAAACGCTAGGATTAGACTGCCGCAATCGGATCTATCCTCATTCGAGAGTCGAAAACTGAAAATGTCCGAAATTTAGGAACTCTAACCATGGGTCGTCCCTTAATTGAAATCAGTCCGTCCTCGAAGCTTTTCAGTGAGCGAAGCTGCGAACTACGAAGAGCCTCCTTAGAGCCAATATTGAACGGAAGTATGCAGCGCAGCACTCTCTCCGGTCAATTACCGGCCCACGAGCGGGCAATTCGGGTGTGATCCGTTCAACCTACAAGGAAGTTTCTTCCCTTAGTCCCGGAGAGAATGTGTGTGAGAGGAAACTGACTGAGGGCGCTATAAGGGAATTGATCTAGTCGGGGCTCGGTGCCTTTCGAACCCTTCCGGATGCGCTGGAGAGGGAGGGTATTGAATGACCGGAATCTGAGTGTGCCTCCGACCGCAAACTTCGGAACACAACGACTAGCACACGGCTCTATAGCAGAGGTCGAGCAGGCTAATAACCATGAGATCTTCTCCCTGCTCCGATCTCATATCGGGGATGGCCTCGTCGGAGAGTCTACAGGAGTCAATCGATTTTCCCGGCTCGCATCAGACATCGTATGCTCCTAGCCGAATGTTCCGACCCCCTGAGGTCGTGTTGCAGAATACAGCTCGACTATCGCAGGGATTCTCGTGAGCACTAACTTGGCACGGTATATCGATACCATGTATGCACACGGAGGACTGTCTGTTTCGAATCTTATCGACTTCCCACGAACTTCAGCCACAGTCATTATTTGTAGCTGCCCCTGCCGCTCATCGGTACATGAGCATGCCCGATACGATCGGACTATAGAACACACATTGTCGCTTGTGATATGCCTGAGCGAGCATGGTCCCTGTCGGATCTTATTTCATTGTAATTCGAGCGGGGCTCCAGCGAAGCCTTGGTGCATAGTTGGGGATAGTCCTTGATTTTCCGAAGCACCGACGTACAATCCTGGTAAGGGATCCAGGGAACTTTTAAGAGCTCCGAACCCCACTGCCGGCCTCGTTCGATCATCACGACTCTCGGCTGTCGCCGCATGGAGCACGTATAACACAAAACACAGCATAAGGTGCAACTCAGATGATTCGCAGACCGTGTTGTTGCCCCGAAATCTCATGAGATCACCTTCTGCATGAACTATCTGAGGTGTCACAGCTCCGCTACATCTTTGGATCGCGATGAAGAACACAGACTGAAAAATGAGAAACATAGGATTTGGCAATTGTCTGAGCGGCGCCAGTCTCGTCGGTTCTATTGTCGCGAGCTCGTGCAGATTTCTCAGATCTCTTCTTTGATGCATCGTGCAGCGTTCGGATCCGCTTCCGATGAGCTTGATTCAAAAACCGTTCCGATGTTCGTCCATCGGGGATTCAATCGGAAAAAAATTTTTTACTCAAGACTAAGAGGCGAATTCTAGTCTCCATTAGGAACGAAACGGAGGGAGCGATGAGTTTCGAGTCCAGTACGCGTCAGACTACCGGCTAGAAGAGCTGAACTAACAATAAGAGCGATCTGTGAGTAACGACACGGACTCCCGCGATCGACAAGTCATCAGTAACCACTCGCACATATCATCAAAGATCGGCCCGACTGTGAATCTTTGGAATATTTGTGATAACATTGGTACATGATCAGCCGATTACATTGAAGATATAGGTTTATTTGATGGGTCTCGTATCCTTCTTCCCCCTTAG